AAAAGGGAATTAAAATCATCTCCGGTGCGCTATACATGAACATCTCTCGACCATCCACAGGTCCTTCGTGAAAACTTTAATTGCCTGGGAGCGCCGGCTCGAAGAAACGGGTTAATTAGTCGGCGTTTCAACGGGAAATTTATTAAAAACCGCGCAATTAACAACAAGTCCGCGAGCGATAAATGCACTACATAACGAGACGCACTAAACGTCGCGATTCGACGACAACAAGGCCAGACATGATTCGATTTCGGCGCTCTAATTGCGCACTTATATCGATTTCGGGAACGTTCTGTATTAACATTCGTTATGTACGGTCCTTTCGGTATACAAATCAGGTCGCATTGGGCGCGATTGCCTTTTGTGCGCGTCCGTATTTAAGCCTGAAATCAAAGCGACCGCGAATATACAAAATGGTCCCGTGCAATATTAGGCGGTGCACGGCATTTCTGGTTATAAATAGTTCATTACTCATAATGCGCCCTATTGAAATATTAATTCGACATAATGCGATAGTGTTTTAACGGGTTATTTATGTATGTGTACTATTGACTCTCTGTCTAATACTCGATGATATGTTGCAAGTAACGATTAAATTCGTATAAATTATTGTATCGCGTTGTCAACTAGCATCCCGTGAATTGAGACTGGCGGTTTAACGTTGAGTAAAAAAAATGTTGTTTAGTTAAAACGCGACAATTTCCACTCTAGTTTTAAGGGCGGCCTTGCAAAATGTTATAATTAAAACCGACTCTGCGCGACTGCAGGAATTGGACGCGGCAAAAAGCGCGACGGCATCAAAACAGGAAGAAAACAGCGGAAAAAGTTCCGTCGCTGTAGCGGAGACGTTTGTAAACTTTCATTAGTGCAACTTCGAAAAAGCACGTAAGGCTTTTTTTCTACCGTAGATAACATTGAAACCTCCACTTCGGTACACGCTGAAACAGGTACTCGAAGGGACTTTTAAAATGCTGTTGTTTTAACCTAAAATACAGTATTTTTGCATAAATTTTCATGCATTTTGTACTACTTTTATCCAAGCAACTTTAACGATTTTGTAGCTATACACCAGCGCTGTTATAATAGAGGTATTGATAACTAATTATTAGTTGTATCAAAGATATTATTTGATTTCCTGCAAGATATATCGTGCTTGCTTCCCAGGAGTGTCGTCCGTCGCGGAATTGGCAGAAGATATATAGAAAAAAAAAAGAAATAACACAAACCGAAACCATCTATATTGGGTTTATTATAAAGTGAAACTTCTCGAACGGAAAAAGTTAGCGAGCCTGACACTGGCTTTCGGCGTAGTTTTATTCTTTAAAAGGGGCCGTATCTCGACTCCCCGGTGAATAGGCAGTGACATTATAGACACGGCGACACGAAAACTAAAGAGGAAATTGACAGAAAAGCGAATTTAATCTAGGTCCTGTGCGTTCTTGAATTACAAAGGGAGTATTTTTCAATTGACGTCACTCCGACTTCGTTTTAATGACGCCGTGAAATTGATATTTCGAAACGAAAAAAAGCTCCTTTTAATAGCAATCTACTCGAAAGAATCGCAGTTGTAAATCTCCCGGCTTTAATATCCTCGAAGAAGAGTTTTCGCAAACTAGATAATAACTAATTATTTCGATTCTCCTGATAGCGATATATATCTCGAAACAAAAAAAGAAAGCGAACATATACTTTACGGAAAATGAATAGCTCGAGCGCGAAATTTATGCAGCTTCCCCGGCAATTCGCCGACTATGCAAGAAAATTACCGGGCGCGTACGCGAAATCAAGCGAAGAACCCAATTTGCAATATTACGATCTTCCAGCGCAAATATGAATAATTGTTTACGTAGTCTCGACAATTAAGCCAAATTCAGGATGAGCTAATAAATAGCAGGAATTTCGACTAATTAATTTTCCGCATTGTCAACGACAAACGCACAATGGCATCAAAAACAGTCCCTATATCCTATCTTAATAATATACATTTACCTGTACGATTTTTTACGATAAATTTGTATCTAATTAATGCAGATAATTAAGCAAGTTTATGTTATATTTGGTGCTTGATTTGTAATTAAAAGCAAAACGTCCAAACCAATTTCGAATCGGCAATGTTCTAATTCGACATGTAACAAAGTTAATACCTACCTGCTCATGAATATTAATCGAGTTATACCTCTCTAAGGAGGAGACAAATATGATATCCAGATAATCCAGATAATAGATGTTAACACTCCATGGAAATTCCAGATGTTTGGTATTAACTTTCCAACTAGATTCTTCTCTTCCAATTCCAATAACATTTTTATATGTATAGTTATAACACAGCTAATTATATGATCAAAAATAAATGGAAGCAAATAGGTTTTGTTCCTCCGATGGGAAGAATTCCAATTTAGCTACTTGGAGTCTAGCTAGACGAAATGAGAAAAAGGGCCAGTAAGTAACGTAGGAATTTATCGGCATATTTTCCGGCCGGAGCAGGTTGGAACAGGAAGAATTTTAATTTTAAATTTAATCCGGGGCGTATTGGAGGCGACGCGCCGCGACGGCACTACTCGAAATAAATACGTAAACATCCCCGGTTGACTTATAGCGGACAATTCCGTACGTCGCTGTCCCTTTATTGGGCCGGTAATTTATTATTTACGTGCGGTGACACTTATTGAAAAAAATCGCCGGCTTATTTCTCAAGTTAATGCGCTCGTTGTGTAATATGCCTCCAACTGAAAAGTAGAAGTAATCGTATTAAAGGAGGTTTTTTTCTTGCTCGAAGAACAAGTTGCCGACGTTGTTTATTTTTATGTTAGGCGAATGGGAAAGTGTTTTTCTTCTTTTTTCCAGCGATTTTCGGTTGTTTGGAAAGGTTTGTATGAAGAAACATCCAGAGTAAATTAATTAATAAATCATTGGTGGAATATTTTGGTTAATTTTATTGAGTATATTTTATAGGAAGATATATTAATTTTAAAATCGATTCAAAGTGTCAACATAAGTGACTATTACATTTTAAACCATAAAATTATCTATATATAGGTATACGTATTAATTAAAAGCACGAAATTGTCGTAATAAACTACATATAATTTTCCACTTTGATGTTATTAACAATTCAACAGTCAAAAGTGCTGCTAAAAATCGATCGGTCCATTCCGAATGTACCATCATACGGACAGTAATTACGTCAAATTACATTTCGTTTCGCCCGTCAAAGGGCGTAAATTTAAAGGTTTCGGCCATAATTAATACTCCTGCCACTGAATCAATCCATAATTCCGAATTTTTCAACTCGAAAAATTCATTCCGGCCAATTAACCCGAATCGCCATCGAAAAGAACGCTTCTATTAGCAATCAAACAAGTTTCCTCTACGACGAAAGTTTCGCCGCATAAAATCCGGCCGTATGCAAAGTCCGAGCCGGTGGAGCTGATTAAATCAACCGGAGCAGGAGGGCAAACAGCACGGAAACAAGAGTCTCGCGACTGTACGATTTTCCCGGACAGACGCCGCCGAAGAGAGAGGGCGTCGCGTCCGCAACGGGCGATACAATTCCGGGTTTGATTGCGCAACTTTGCACTTTGTTAACTCCTCGACGTCGGGAGAGCGTCGAGTGCACCGTTTCGGAATTATAATGGTTAAACTTGAAATTAGAGAGGCGACTTTTAGGCCGGGATATGCATGAGTAAAGAGCGGTTAAGTTTTCTAAATTACTACCTATCTAATGGACATGTTTGCTAATGGTTGTTTACTCTAAGAGCGCTAGTTGACTTATGCAAGAAGAGGCCACTTACAATTTACTCAACGTTATAATTACTAGTATAATCATACCTGCTCAATTACTAGTCATTTAACGATGAGTTTTTTAAAAATCTTTTGACGAATTTGCGACCTGTAAATCAAACCACTACTGCACAACTAGAAAACGCAAAATGTATATGAACAGACGAGGAGGCGGTTGAGCGAGGGCGGAATAAATGACCCGTTATGATTTAAGTTTGGAGAAAGTTTTAATTGCGAAATAGCTGGGTTGTACGACTGGGGGTAGGTGTAATTTCGAATTGTTCGCCTGGAAGTATAGGCTCTTTTAAAAATTCATTACCTGAAGTTGGAGAAATCGATAGGGACGGACAAAAAAGGGTTAATCGAAAGTTTAAAATTACGAATTAAATAGTTATCACAATGGGTTTTAATCGTTAGTAAATAAATGAAAATAAAGGATTCAAACGAAAATGTGCCGGGTTAAATTTATTCGACTCGCGGAGAATTATGTATGCCTGTTTATTCTTAAGCCATATATCAAAAAGATGCTATTCGCAAAAAAGAGTGGAACTTAGTCGGAACGTCGGCGTTAGAAAACTTCGGTCGAGTTAAACAAGATTTATGGCCCTTTTTTTAAAGCGAGTTTTCCTTATTAAATCAATTCTCACCGACGTATTGCGTTCTCAAAGTTTCCCGGAGACCCCGTAAGTTTTAATGTACTAGCAAAAACTTACTTTTTCTAGCAGTGGGCGGAAAGCTGGCGCCTGCCACGCTTATGCGTGAGCACTTTTCGAACACTATTTTATTATTTTACCCATGTATCTTACCAGAAAGAAGATCTCATTCAGGAAATCGAGATATGGCGATTCCTGTGACCCAATTTCCTCGAGATGTAGCAGAAGTTTTGACAATATTTCTCGCTAGAAAGGCGATAAAAAGGGGCTCCAGACGAACGGGCGCCTCGTCGCTTATCCAGCAAGCGACCTGGATTCCGTCCAAAATCCGCGATATCCCGAAAAAATATCGACTGTTTAAATTAATAAATAAAACAGTCGTTCAAAGATTTACAGACGGCCGTAAAAGCGATATTAGATATTCATTAAATATGCAGTAAAATAAACGTTCTAATAAAATAAATCGCGCGCCGGAGTTCTTATTATGACGAATATATCACTCGGATGCAGCAGTAGATTTTATTGAACAGTTTAAAAGGGGGATTTAAGGCGAAAATAAAACGCCGATTTATTTCCATCTTCTTTATTTTTCAAATAAAGTTCCGAGTGTAATTCAAAATTGAGATTTTTCGCGCGTTAACGCAAGCGCCATGGAATCGAAGTTATAGGATACACCAACATAGGGATGGGAATCTAAGTTACATAAACCCCATATACGGTTCTAATTTTTATAACTTACAGGGGATTCCCATACTTAAATTTCTCTAATCTAATGTAAATAGCTTGAATTTTTATTCTATTGATGCAAACGTCGATTAGATAATTAAAACGGAGCGCCAGTATCGACTCCACGATGCCTCGCATTCAACGCCAGTAAACATTAGGTTATTAATACAGCAATTATACAATATATATTTACATTTAATTTTCAGTATATAGATATATCTTACGATAATAAATCAACTATTTGATTAGCTACATAAACTCTCGATCAAAATAATTTCGGTTATTATTATTACACACTCAATATTCGCTAATAATTAACAATTTTTTAAGGCTGTACAGCCAACATAGTTTGTGATCACAGGGATTTTTCTTTTTTTATGTACATTAAAACCTTCTTTAGTGGTGAAGCTTTACCGAAAATTAACCAGTCTTTGCAAAAATGGCAATATTGCATCAGGTTTAGAATGAACTGTGCCTTTGTTGTCTATTTCAATTATTAAATTTGCTATTAGAATCTATGAAATTATGCAATAGAAGGGTTAATTAGGATTTTTGGTTCACCGAATACCGTTCGGGTTTCAATGTAGATTTTGTTCACACATTTAAGCACCAAATGCCAAACAATCAACCGATATTTCGAAAAATATAACAATAAAAAATAAAGAAAATACAGACTAGGTTTCTTAGGACATGTAGGTAAACATTTTTTGGGGTTAGATAGTTTATAGAACCATTCAATATTATAATAATTGATTTACGAAATACAGTCAGTGCTTAAAATTTTGAAAATTTCGCTTGCGCGTCGTTTCGTGATAATTTCTTCAAATTCGCAATCCGACCGGATTGGATACGATAAAAAATATAAACATTTGGTTGCGTACGATTACAATAATTCCAGTATAAAAAATTAAATTGGAAAACGACACGCAAACTTTTTAAATACACGCTACTTACTATGTTATACATTTACTTATGATAAAAATTATACAATATATAAATTATGTATTAACCTTCAAAAGGATGAACGACTAGTAAATATGATTGTTTTTAACATTGAAGGATGTAGGATATGTACAAAAAAGTTCGAAAAATGCATCCGAACAAAGTCGAACTTCTTATATCTTCCTTTAGCATAATTTTAATTCGAATCCACACGACATAATTTAGAGCGGAATTTTCTCCAAATGAAAATTCCAGATGAAATTCGACTTCGTACGTACATACGTAGATAGGAGAAAATAACATTATACAGCGAACAATTTTAGTGCCATATGAAACTACACTGACGGTAAAAAGGGTAACGCAAACGAAACGGAACGGAACAATGTACAAAAAAAGACAGGGGGAATGTTGAAAGCAGCGCTCTATTATAATCGAAGAGTTTTTTCCATCACTGTTTTTGGCGTTTTATATACAGTGCGTCTCGTTCAAAGTCACATACGCGCCAAAAAAACCCATCAATTCTCCAACCGATAAATGCAAAAATTCCAAAAATGAGCCATCCTGTATACCTACCTCTTTTCACACGTATAACACACGCGTGTTTACGTCAACGTACTAGCCCGCGAATGAAACCGGCAGGAGAATTATCTAGAAGACATGTACAATAGGCCGTAGCACAGGCCAGACAGCGAGGCGCTCAGGAAAACCGATCCTTGACTCGAAGCCGCTGAAACACAAGAAAATATCCCGTTTTAATGACGAAGTTTCATTAAAAACAACTCTCATTTCAAGCTGGAAAATTGTCTTTTCCATGCGGCACATCTGGAACACTATACAAGGTGAATCTTTACCGCTTTACTTAATACTTTTAATTAATAAATCATCCTGTATTTCCTTAAATAAGAGAGTTATGCAACTTTTAATGGTCATTTGGTGTCACTGTTAAAGTATGTATAGCTCACCATGAATCACCCTGTATACAAACACCTTATACAGGGTGTCCCAATGAAAAGTAGCCCATCAAAAAAGCATGCGATTTTCGCAGGTATATCTTATTTTGCTATAACTTTTTGTTACAGTGACACAAAAATTTTGTATCGTCTGTGCAGGATGTTTCAAAAATCCTCCTCTTTTAAATTCACATTAACTAAATTTTATGATATAAGACATCTTCTTTTGTACAATAACATGTACGAATAACACATTTTTAAAAAGTAGAAAAGTATATCTTTCAAAATATCTCTACATATACGGGGTGTTCCTTAAAAAATTGGTTACTGTGTATTTAAAACAGGAGATTTTGATAAAACTCCCTGTATTGGTAATGCATGATTTCTGTATCAGTGTAACAAAACTTACAATAAAATAAAACATATCTGAGAAAACCGCATGTTTTTACGATTATGCGTTTATATACAAATAACAAGCTCATTAAAGGGGCTACTTTTCATTGGGACACCCTGTATTGTAAAAGTTCTGGCAAACATTTCATCTGGGAAATCTGGTGGAAATCAATGCGATAAACCAGAAATCTTCCGAGGCCGATTCTGCGTGGCGGAGGTGAAACTGCGGGGATGAAACGATAATATCAACACACGTGTTTTGCAACGCTGGAACAATGTTATCGGTTCGAGATAATACGCTTTTCTCGTAATTCTTCGGCAGTGACGTGCGGGGCTTCCTGACAATGCACGCCCGAGATAAACTCTCGACGGAGAGAGGAGCCGGCCGATAAAAGGAAAAAATCCGGACAACGGCGGAAAAACCGTGGGGGAAATCTCGAAAGGAATTGTGCGAGCCAGTCGATGCGCGAAGAGTTTCTTTTGTGGCGATTAATTATTAATGACCGTTGGATTTTTCACGAAATCGCTGTACGATGTTTATTATTATACAGTGTGTCCCAAAACGAAATTTATAACGACGTTTTCTTCTATGAGTTATGGCGTTAATTTTCGTTTAAATTTCTCGAGGAAAACCGAAGGAATTTTTCAATCGAGTTTAATTACAATCAGAAACTAACACCTTAGTATTTACTACGTTTTCAATTAACTACAACGCCGATCATTATTGAGCTCGCTTCCTAACAACCCACCCTAAACGAACTAAATCACGAAAAGTGATGTTGATACTCGTTAAGGGGATTACAACCAACGAAAAATCGCTATTTAACTAACCGATAATTGTCTGTTGGAAAATCGCTAAATAATACACTTCCCTCCACCTAGAAATACAGGGGTTAGTTAATACGATACGTACGAGGGCAGCTCGATAAGTAAGCTCGGACTTGTCAATCTTTTAGTTGAAAAAATAAACTCAGTCTCTATTCGGCAAATAATGCACTTCCTCTTTACGACGCCTTGACAACGACAACAAAAGCGGTTAATTACGTTTCTGTCAAGAAACAGGCAACGAACAAAAACCATTAGAAAGCGCGCAGTTCCAGATCGTTCCGCTTCAATCGCAGCATCGCAGCTTTTCCGTATGGCATTCGTACAAGACGCGAACAGGTTTTTATTGCCTGCTCGTCGTCGAATAAACATTACACGCTGGTGCACGTTTATAATTACTTTTCGAGATAAACTCCTTCATACGGCTGATTGATTTTCCCTAATACAAATCCTCAATACCTACACCAAGACCCTGAAAGCGTGTCGTTAAGGGAGTGTTTTCCATCAGGCAATATTTTAGTATATAAAAGATATAAATTGTGTATTACGAATTATTTTGAGGGGTTGGATTCACCCTATAGTAAGCGGTAAAATTGAGTATTATATTACTGTAATCTGCACATTATACACGTGCAAACATGAGGATTATTGAGATACGGTTAGTTTAAAAAAATCGTCCGGGTTTTATTGCGTTTCGAACGTTTTGTTTATCTTCGAATATACCATCGATTCTCCATTAGCAAATATTTAATTTTTTGCTCCGTGCATACGAATAAATAGTTGGTAATTTTTTTCTTCGTGTATAAACGCAACGTCGGGGGGGGCGGGGGGCGGTTCGGGGCTGTTTTATGCCGGGTTTAGGGAAAGCAACAAACGTGTAATATGAGCAGCTTCGTCTACGGCTTTTCTTCCTTCGCATCCGCAGCTTTCGCTTTCATTTCCCGGCAGATATTTCCTTTTCCCCCTTATTAAAACTCCAAACATCGCGACGTTTATCTTTCATTACGACTTCTGCAACTCGAACTCCCGCCTGGGAAACTTTTCCGTATCATCGCGACGAAATTAATATCGTCTACTCGTGTAACGATCAATTTTCTTTAATTTACGATAACGGCGACTAAAAAAATATTCAAACCTCACCGGTTAATTTTCAATGCCTCAAGGCATACTCGGTGCAAGAAGTGTTACCCATAAATCTCGCTCTATGTGTACCTAAAGCCGCGGGAAATTAATATTTTCCACGTCATGTCTGATGTCGAATTTGCACATTGATGGACAAGCACTTGCGGAGCGTTCGCTCTATTGATAAAGTCCTTTATTTGCCAAACGTGACTCATCTTAGGGATTCTTGCATAACTATAATAGCCCGTTGATCTGCGGCTCTGCGTTTAGCACGACGAACGGTCCTCGAATCAACAATGGAAAGTTCCCATCGACGTGAAACTTGTTTCTCGGTGTAACCGAGCTTTTTTCCAGTGCGAATTCGCAGTATTGCCTGGCGGACGCGCTAATTTAGAGAGGGGTTTTTAAGAAAATTGAGTTGAAAAATCGGGCGAACAATAACGGATCGCGGAAAACAGAACAAAAATGCAGTCGTATCTCTAGCCGGTGGCGGTAAACACGTTCGCAAAACAGAAAACAAATTGCTGTTTTTCTGTATACGGCTTCTATTTTTCTATTTTTCGCGTCAAACACGCATTCACACCGGCGTTATCCGTTCCCTGCATACATATTTATCATGTTTATTTGGAAATATGTTCCTTTAAAATCGCGAACTGCACGGCACAACCAGCTTTATAATTAGGTCACTACGAAACACAAAAAGTAACACCCTAAATGTAAACATATAAAAATGAATTTAGTATAAACTGTACTTACACTATACATTTATTGTTACTTGCAAGGATGAAGGATAATTTGTATAGAAATCCTCTAGAAAAAAATCAACTTCCAAACCATCAACATGATTTGTTGTTCGTTTGAACAAACAAAGTCTATTTACAATTCTCCGATCTCAAATTTCGCCCTCTTCTCCTTGTCCCCTTCGCCTATATCGTCCTTCAAAATAACTCTATAAATGCGCAATGAAACGATACCGATCCCGAGGAAAAAACGCAAATAAATTTCTCCGACTTCGAGCAACATTGGAAGGACGAAAGGAGACAAACCGCCGAGGAAAACGACCGAAAGCAAACAATCCTGGAATTGATGAAACACAGGAACACTACAGAGTCTAGATTTATTTATTTTTTCTACTCATAAATGCAGCAGTAACAGACCTTATTACAACCATCTTTCAACCTCAATCTCCACGTAGCATGTACAAGTTCAGTTGGAAAATTAATTTGCCAAAATTTCCGGAACGTGCGAGGTTACTAAGGTGCACAAACCGCGGTGTGTCTGGATAGCACAGAGCGCAGTAAATTTTTCAGGATACACCGGTGCATTGCAGGAAATTTATTTATGAATACTTCTGGCCGTGTTCCAATAAAACAAGCCTCCTCGGTGAATTTTTCAAGCCCCCTCGAAACTCCAAATCAACGAGATGCACATAGTACTCTCACCCACCATCTTTCTATCTACCACCCCCAAGATTTTCAAATTCATATACAATTATTAATTGCGACACCGTTCGAATTTTAATTGATCGATGGACGTCGACGAAGGCGCCTTCGTATCCCTCCCAGCAACAACGGCGGGTCGGTAAATGATAGATTAGGGTTTTGGGGGGGACGCTTACCTTGCACCCTGTCGGCGCGGGATCCGGACGGCGCCGCGGTGCCCCGGCTCTCCAGCACCGACGCCTTCTGGGGCCGCTCGCCCTCGACGCTCTCCTCGTTGCTCACCAGGTACAAGGTGGCGATGGTGGCGAGGCATTTCAATTTCATGTTGCCGCGCTTGAAGTGCTTGTGCCTCACTTGGAATTCCAGGCCCAGGATCGTCGATTCCAGACCCTCGCGACCTGCCAAGTAATTTATACATTGGGATTAATAACGCATTAGTTGAATTTTAGGTGCATACTTTGATATAAAAATTTAAGGATATAAAGGGTGGCCCAGAATTCACGCCCCACCGATAAAGGCCTTATGGAAACGACAATGGAGATGACGAAATTGCAGTCGAAAACATGAAAAAGTTATTCTTTTTGTAAATAAAGAGGTTTAAAATTGACCAATCTCAGTAGCAGTTCACATATGCGAAAATGACGTGAATTGGCTATACACCAATTTGACATTATTGAAAGATTCTATGTCCTATTAAATTTTAAGGTTAACAAAAGGTGCCAAAATCAGCTGCGACTAATGATCAAATATTTGCTTTCAAATCGATCAAAAAATGGATTATTCGATTCGAACCACTTTTCAGGCAATAAAAAAATTCTGTAGGTTTGATATCAGCACGACGAAGCTCCTGAATGATCGATTTGAAAGCAAATCTTTAAATAGTCACAGCTGATTTTAGCAGCTTTTGTTAACCTTGAAAGTGTAAAGGAAATAGAATCTTTCAATAATGTCAAGTTGGTGTATGGCTAATTCACGTCATTTTCGTTGATTTGAATTCCTACTGGGATTGGTTGATTTTAAACCTCTTTATTTACCAAATGAAAAACTTTTTCATGTTTTCGACTGCAGTTTTGGCATCTCCATTGTCGTTTCCATAAGGCATTTCCCGGTGGGGCGTGAGTTCTGGGCCACCCTGTATACAGGATGTTCCAAGATTATTATTTATATTTATTTAGAAGAAGAGATGAATTAATGTATTTTAGTGAAGTAGTAATGTACACTTTAAATCTCTGGGAATTATAATTTTTTTATTTTTGCAATGTTGAAGGATAGTCCTGTATGCACGGAACAACTATTAAAAAACTGAAACAAACTTTAGGCGAGCTAAACATAAATGCTTCATTTCGAAAAATATGATTAATAGAAGTTTCATAATTCCAGTCATTTACTGAGAAGCATCGTTTTACTGTCGCAAAAAGCGCAAGCTTAAGAAGTTTTCGCATTAAAAAAAATTTAATGGGAGACATAAAACCGAATAACCGGTGCAGTTTTTGTTTTGTTTTTGATTACTTAAAGGACGTCCGAAATTCGATTAAAGTCGCATGAATTTTATATATATATTTATTATTTTTTTTTCGGAGAAGCTCACCCCGACGTGGATGTGTCACTTCCAAGTTTATGCACCATACATTTTGCACAATATACAACGCTTCAAGGCGCATACCGTTTTCTCGACAACCCGGCGAAGATCTATAAAAGTCAATTTGAAGCGACTTTTCGCTCCTCCGCGCCAGAGGCGGGGAAGTCGCAAGCGAACAGTCTTAATTAAAAAAAAATTAAGAATGATAAATTAGTTGTTTCTCTCTTCGCGCGATTCGTCCCACTTCTGATTTCGGCGTTTTCTTTCGATTCGCGCAGCCCTCCGGCCGGTTTTCCCGGTTTAATTATCGCAAAATCGCCGGAGCCAACGCTGGTCGTTGCTCTATATCAGTGGCATGTTCGAACGTGTCGTCCACCAATATTGCATTTTTGATGCACTTTCGCATTTTACATTTATTCGAATGAGTGGAATTTATCGAGGAATATTCCAACGATATATTCGAATATTTTAATATGCATGGTTTAACATCCTGTATATCTACCCAAGGGTAAAGAAAAAAAACCCTTACCTAAGGTGATGGTTTCGGGTCCTCTGAGGAACTTGGGATCGGCGGATTCTCCGTTGATCATCCAATTGAGTTGGGCCGCGGGTTTCGACTTGCCCGACGTGCAATTCACACGAACTGTATCGCCCACTTGATAGCGGGGACGCCCGCCCGATATCTTCGGACCTTCCTCCGGAAGAGCTGAAATAGATAAACACCCTTATTACTTAATTGCCCGCTTTATAAATCACTGAAAATAGCGGATTTTCTGGTTTATCGTGTTTTTTTTGAAGATATGGCAACGTTGCGGTGGGACCGATAGAATTAAGGTTTCCTGTAATAGGTTGAATAACGCAACGGGCCCATCAGAAAAGGGAAAATACGTAGTTCTTTTTATTGATACGGCGCGCGGGAGTCGGGCAAAAAAGCTCGGAAGACTTGGAGGAATTGGGGCGAATGGGAGATGATGCCCCTTAGGGTTTTATGGGAGTATCGGTTTTTCATTTAGGGGGGCCGTTTCCGTCGATTTATATCGCAGTCGTTATTGTCTCTGGCCGGGCCCGTCGGCTGAAATCTACTTTTTTTTCCCACCTTTCGCACGTTCGCCCGTCGTTTTCTTGTATTACAAAGCTGTTAATTGTTTCCCTCCAGTCCCGGTTTCCTTATTTAATCAAACACTTAACTCGCGATTATTTAATGAACTACTCAACCCCAATTAAAATAGGAGAATAATAACTTTTACTCCACTTCTACAAGTACCTACTTTTTCAAAAAAAAATTAGTTCATCCGATCGAACGTTCTGTGTATTATTTATGTACATAGCGCGGGAAATAAATGGAAGTGAACGGCAGGGGACTGGGAAAGCCGTACAATTGTAAATCATTGCATTGGAAATGTTCGGCCCATTCCCTGTTAGCCAATATTAAGGAAGTTAGGATAGCCCGGAGCCGTATTTAACCCCAAGGAACCGCTATATTCATGCGATTTTCCCTCCTAATGGCCTCCGAATCGCCTTTTAATACAACGCCAGCACTGGAATATTTTGTTTGCGTTATTGCAAATAAATCGACGGCTATGATATAGCCATTACGAATCATTGCAGAGTAGCAGGATGGGATTTTGGTGCTAATTTAAGCAAAATTCTACTACTTCCACTAATACATTTATTTAGCTACACGAGGTACTTATATTGTGCAAGAAGGGGTGGTAAATTTACGGTAGGGAGAAGATATGGAGGAAGCAGCCACCTTCCTTTCGAAATATAAGCAATAAGTGGCACAAAAGTTTTTTTATGTCCGGATAAAAACCGGCCGTTTCGCCCGAATAAATATGCCATCTCGACTCCGAAGCCGGACACTCGCTTCGTACTCAAGAATTTCATTTCGGAAAACGCATAGATAAAAAATAGCGTCGGCGGTACGTGGGCGTAATTCCCGCCGGTCGGGTGGGCGCGTATACACTGCATTCGCAGCGTTCGAACGGATTTCATATTAACTGAAGGTTCTTTTATACAAACGGAGATTTCGTGCGGCAAAGTGTATTGTCTTCAAGGCGAAAGGGAACTCGGATATTTTGATACCTCGCTGACTGCAAAAGAAAATTTCATCTCGCCCGGAATATCGGGCACTTTGTATCGAACAACAGAAAATAAAACATTCAACACCGAGCTTTATACGTAACATATTCTACCTGCTACAGATCGATAGAGATAGCCGAAGACGACAAAGACTTACATGCATCTACTAAGTGCAATAGTTCTTTAGTAAAACAAATTCAAATCAAACGTAAACTCCATTTTTCATTGTTCAAAACATTTTATCCAGTTATTTTTCATTTTCGTATAATATTCGAGCGCAACTTAATAACATAAAGGGCTCAAACGACGCGAAAACACGGCTCATTTCGCAGTTTTAATAAGGTACCAGGACAGCGTCGCGACGCCGACGGTTGTCGTCGGATTCGCGGCGTAGCCGGTGAATAAACAGCAAAAACCAACAAGTAAATATCTTGCAATTACCCGTACGCAAACATATCTCTAGTGTTTAGTTCAAAACTCTCGGCTTATTAATAAACTTTGCGATACTGTTCGGCTTGTAAATTTCAAATTACAGGCATTCTCGTTATCGCGGGGGAATAAACTGTGTCTGATGTTTTAATACTTTAAACTATTTTGCAAGTGCATATCAGCGAAATTTCCTACGCGGAATTAATACAGTGAATAGACACAGTAGAACGAACTTTACGTTAATTATGTTGCTGTATGAAGGGCAAACGGAGCTTACGGTAATTAATTATTGTGTTTTCGAAATGTCATTAATTAGTTGTAATGGACGATAATTACAATTTTAATTATTAACTAAAACAACGAATGTAGGTGTAATAAAATTCGTTTAAAGATGCGTTCTCGCAGCAATTAATTGTTTCCTGCGGATCGTACTCGATAAAATTATTGGGTGCTTCAAAGATACATTTAATACACCACCGCATTTCGTTTTATATAGTTAATAAAATATAAAATTTTACAGTTCTACCTTTAAATTAAATTAAATGGAAATTACAGTTTAATTACGAATGCATAGGCTATCACAATTTCCATTTAAAAATGATATCTTGTGACACTTAATTTTATTACATGTAGAAAGAGTCCGTTTAAGAGCGATTTAAAATAAATTTAACTTTATACTGGGCGCTGCTGCATCATCAATTGTATAAAAACCATTGAAAAAGCTGGTTAATAAAAAAACACCAATCAGTTTTGGTTATAATGATGTGAAATAAAAATTGTGATTTTTTTTGTTGTCTCGCTATAGCTTAACGAGCTTTCCCGGGAGCTTTATTTTTCTTAATAAAAAATTGCCGCTATACGAGAGAGAAATCGACGCCGGATGAAAAGAATTGAGAAATGTCGATACAAAGACGCCATTATGTAACCGTTTTCATCATAATCTCATCACACGCCAATCGATAGACAGTGAGTGATACAAACCATGAGCGTCCCCGGAGCAGAATTTCCTGCTTTATCGACAAAAAATGACAAACTGCGGACTCAAACCCTTTCAAAATACAACAATTTTGATCGCAGAAAATGTAATGTTACTGTAATTGGAAATGAGTATTTCAACTTTAATTTTCTTCTGCTTCGCTAATCGTAGGTTTCAACTCAGTATAATTTTATTTCGATAACGCGATAGCTTGATTCATTGGAAACAGGCGTCGCGCCGCTGGCGTTTACCGCGAAAAAGCGACCGAGAGGGCGGAAAAAGCGGAAAAGTTTTCCCGTTCGGGTATGTATGGCGTGAAAATCGCAAGGAATCTGAATTTGAAATCCCACAGCTCCCGACATTTCTTTACTAACTGAACACCTGTGGGATTTTGATTCGATAATGCCCCTTTAGGGCCGAACCGACTTTATGTCCTTTTAAAGGACGCTTCCGCTTAATTTTTTAACCATACGGCGCGCGCCAAATCCCACCACCATTTTTCCTTCAATTATATATTTTTTTTAAATAGACGCACTAACGCAGCTCCTATTAAATATTCTAATTCGCGAAGGTATTTAGAGCCGTCTAAGGTTTTAAAATTGAAATAAATCTCCGGCCATTACCGTTTAAGATGCGCGGACTAAAAAAAAAACGCGAAATCCGGAATAAAAACCCATCCGTAATTACTCAATGCCAGAAGAACGCTAAGCCCCGCTGTGTCTTATGTTAATCCGGTATAATCCTGTCTGGTTGGCTCCTGCTCTGCCGCCGGGATAGAGCCATTATTCACGCTGCTTACGGCCATGTTCACTTATTAATGTCGGATCTTGACTAACGTGAGCGCTCGCCCCCTCGTCATCCGTCATTGCGAACTTTCCGCTCGCCCGTTTAATAATAATAATAAGTAACAGAGAACTGGTGAAAACCATTTATTTCTAACGATTGGAGGTGCTTTCGCTAATAGCCATTCCAATGCATTTCATTAGAATGTTGTGGAGTAGCGGAAACGTGGCAACACAGCGCTCTATTCCCACTTTTTGTAGCGCCTACAGCGGAGTAGTGGGGAGAGTATATTAAGAGACCGAATGGATGAGTCTAGTTTAGTTGGGCTGAGTCAGCCGTTAGAACTAATAGGGATATTAGCTACCTAATATTTTTAATTTAACTTTCTTTGACTGAGATGAGAAGATAGGAAAGCTCTCGGAGGGCGATTGTGCGAATTGAATTCGATATGGCGGAACATAGGGGTTGACGGGGATGAAAGCGTCGTCCTAATTTAATTTCGACACTACGTAAACAGTTCGAAAGTTGTTAAAATTTGCGGTCGTTTGAAGTTGGGAGCCGTTTTGGGAAAGACGATGACAATATTATTTTATAACCTTCTGTAAACGAGGGCAGGCTGTAAAGTTGCTGCCGCATAATTCATTTTGCGGGAAGGTATTGCTTGTACTTCATTCACGAGTTTCGACTTTATATGTATACCGTACGGTTCGGAAAGGGAATTCCTCAATAATTTAGGCGAAACTGAAATTTTACGATAACGTTTCAGGACTAATGCTCGTTCGATGGCGGGTTATTTTCGTTTTAGGCAAATGAATTTTTCTTTTTCGGTGATGTGCATAAATTACACCTGTTACGATAAAACGTCAAAATATCAAATATCTAACCCTCTTCCGTATTTAACTTCCCGATTTCCGGACATTTCGCCAGGAAAATTTATGTGGATGGCACGAATATAATTCAAGGACTCCCCGCGCAAAGCGAGAGGAAAAAAATGGTTTCGGAAGGAGACGGGAATTGGGTTTTCCGGATTTATTAAACTTACCTTTGCACTTTACCGAACAATAATTTGCTGACAGGCGGACTATTTATTATTGAAAATTCCGTTGGTTCGTTTTTTTACGAAATTCAGAAAATTGTAGTCGATAGAAATTTATGAAAAGTTAATTAAAACTCCATAAAGTGCCAAATTCAGAAGGAAAACATAACAAAAAGTCTATGCAAAATTATAGAATAAAACTGAATCGAAAAACTGAAAAATTAATTCCAATAGAATCGGAATGTTAAAGGAAAATTGAAAAGTAGAAAGCAAATAATAAAAATAAATTATATTCTCGTGGAATTGAGTACAAAAGACATTTTCGATTATACCTAACTTTTGAATGCGCTCGTTTTCGAGAGCTTATCCAATTTTTCCGCCGTAATCCGCTCTCTTATCATATAATTCCTTTTCACGCGTGAAAAGATAGAGGAAATCTATTTCAGGATTCCAATGAAGCAACATAATATCAAACTGCCAATAAGCTCCTAGGATATAATGCTTCAGTGTCTACACCTTATATGGACCATTTACCAGAGAAGCGATAACCCTATATACCGGAGCTATTTTAGGGAAGACATTATATGTTCATAGAAATTTTATCTCATCCGTGCATGTATTTGACTTTTCCATTAAAGTTTCGCAACAATTTCTTTATTATTCGTTATTACGGCTCGGGCGTAAGGACATTTTATATGTATGCTACATGCTGTATATAAACAAGTGGACTTCGAAGGGTCCTTTCCATCCCGTAATTTCGGAGGTAATTTTTAGTTAAATAGATTTTCCCTTTCATCTGAAAATCCTCGCGTTTTCCTCGAAGGACCGATGTGGACAAACTCAAAAAGGACACGAACAACCTACATTTCGGAAGGGCTGAGGGCCCTGCAGGATTAAACAGGACGTTTTTGATACATTCACAAATCTACCTGTCGTTTCAAAAATATTAGGTACCTATATAAACTCTATACTTTATTTTTCCACAAATAGAATGTAGTAATTTTTTCTACAACTATCAAATCAATACCTGTAGAGCTCTCGCTTTTTGGATATATTAGTGTAGAAAGTAATGTAAGAAAGTCGGAAACGTTAATTAAAACTTTTCAGGTTTCCCGGCGTATTCCTTAGGATACGGGAAGACCTACTGAAATATCTCGAGGTACAAGCGAGGTTCGATTTAATTAATATTATCTAAATATAGTGGTTGATAATTAATTTTAAAATTTTAAATTTCAACCAAATAGCCAAGAAAAACTTTTTTGTATACCTGGCGTACTTACTAAGAGGACATAAAAAATGCAGTTCAACTTCATTAATTAAAAAAAAGTATAATTTCCGGATGCATTCTAATAATTAAACGCAGCGGCGTAAAAACGCGGATAAACCGTTTTATTTACAAGGAAGGACGACTGGTAGATTCCAATTAACTTATGTAACCCCGGAAAGAGTCGGAGAGTGAATTATACAAGAACTCCGGGCACCGAGTAGACGTTAAATAAAACTCCACGGAGAACAGTAAAAACAATCCTCTCTCTTTCGAAATCTTGATTCGTTCTAAAAACATTTTCTAACATCCATCGCGGCGTCGAACAGTGGTCCTGCGAGCAGGACGAAACGACCGGAATTTCCTTCAATTTTAGGATAAAAAATTCATCACAAATAATTTCTAAATAATATGTGGGATAAAATAGTATTTATTTTCATGCGTCTCTATTACTGCGTTATCATTATAATTTCTATAGGATTATAATTAGTAGAGAGTCCTGAAATATGGGATTAGTACATGTTTAATATCATAAAATAATAAATAAAACAAGCTATTTAAATATTTAAGAATCATATTGTAGTTTATTGCTGTAAATAATTTTAAAATAGAGCGATTTAAGGGAGGTTTTTTTCGTCCGCCTTTCGGTTTCTTGGCCCATTCGCGCCGGCAAGAGGTTTAAATGAGTCTTAAGGAAAACTCTCTCTGTATAAGAAATAAGAATAAAATTGGTAAAGTTTTATTTAACTGTAACGGTACGTACAATGTATTACGCCAACTTTTCTCGAATATTGGATTCGGAACGAAAATCTTTTATTTTTTTTTAGAAGTTAAATCAGTTCGGTTTATTTATGAAGATGAGCAAGATTTGGTTCTCTGTTTTATTTCAAGTATACGCTGTTAGGAAACTTCCATTTATGAATAGACAGTTTAATATGATTTAGCATGCACAATTTACTTGATATAACTTTTAGGTACCTAAACTAGTTAATTGTAGAAATGAAAGACTTACCAACAACAGTCATCTTCTGGTGATCAGTAACAGTTTCAAAAAACGGGGCTTCCCCTGATACTTCACATCTGTAAATACCAGTAGAGGATAATTGTACTGAAGACAAAACCACCACACTCTCAGTAGAATTGTGCATCTGAAAAAGAAATTATCTCACTGTATAAAACGAAACAAAAATTTTTAATAATAAATCCTATATTATAGAAAATCCGCAAATCCTGCTACTAATCCATAAAGCTCATACTGTATGTATGGAAGGTTGTTCTGATATAACGCCCCCGCATCACGTTGGATATCTAAAATGTCAAAGTAAAGATAACTGGGGATGAAATGTCGCCTCTATTTAGGAGGGTTGCTTTGGATAACTTTCACTATCATTCCTGCGGAGGGTGAAAGTCAACGGGCCCTGTCGGGCGAAGGGTTGCTGCTTTTCCATAAAAGTTGGTTTATTTTAGGACGGCATTGAAGATAGGGTTTTGTGTGCGTTGGAATAGTTTTGTTTCCGACTCCTGGAAAATGCCTTTTCGCGTCGAATTAATTTCGGAAATTTGTATTGTACATTGAGGAATCGCAGGAATTTACTCGGATTTCATTTGTGTAACTTTTCTAAAGGACATCAACAATATGAACTTCACTTCAATACCTATATTAATCACCAAATTTTGTGTAATTCAATTAAATAGCTTCATATATAACGCATTTGAGACGATATTAGAGCAATTCAGCTTAATCCCAATATTAATTAATTACAAGCTAATTTACATTTGATGTATAACATTGTAAATAAACATTGCTGATGTACAATTTGTTAGATATAGTTGAGTCAATGTCCAATACAATGTTATTTACTTAGTATCTATAATAACGGATATCGACATATTTAGCTTGCACAAATAAACCTATAGGTACTCAGATTTATTAAAATTATATAAATATAGTTTCCAATTTTCCTATTCAATTCTCCTATTTACTTCACTTCATAAAAAAATGGTATCACATAATTTTAATATGTATCTATCGATAAAAGCTGTTGTTCTTTTCATGTAAAATTATAAACCTATCGATTAATTATTATTTATCCAACGTCATATCTATTGATTATTTACAAGAAACATTAGTAAATTAAACAACGAACAAACATTTGTAATTTACTTTGAAATTCGTCGACAAAAGTTGCAATTATTTGTCATTATAGTGCAATAACGGTATAATTTGGACATTCATTAGTTATTCATGATACCTGCAATGTTTGTTTTTTCGATGGCAAATACGCCGGCCGGCTTTTACGTTATTAATTGGCTGAAAATGTTCTGGGTCCAATCAAATAATAAATCAAATGATGTACGGAATCAATCAAGCTCCTTGATGGGAATACAAAAACCCCAGGAATAATAAACGGATATCAATCGTGCGTTTTCGAACGTGAAACGCAAAAACCCAATTTATTAATTCCGATATATAAAAGTTAAACAAACGCTGCTACATTTAAATAATTCTACAATGAAATAAATCAATTCGAATTTTATACGTTTTAATAATCGCGCGATATAAAATAATCCAAAAATTATTGGCGCTATACTGGAATTCCATTGTAACAATTCGAAATTCCCAATTTCTAGGAATTATAAAATAATAAAATACTAAAACAAACAAAAAATCTACCTGAATATTTAATTGAAAAATTACTCTAAACGAATGAACAGCAATCGGGTTAACGAGAATTGATAATTAGGTGACATTGTCCAGTTTCATTAGCTTTCCATCACTTACACGAAATTGAAAATGCGTTAAACAACATACCGTATTGCGTTTTTCGGGCGTAATGAAGAAATTGATTTTTCCGGCTAATTATTAATTCCGTATCGGCGTGTCCGCAACACCGAAGTCGAAACGAATTGAACCAACAAATCACGCGAATTCATTAAATTTAAATAAACAATTTGCAATGTGCAAACACGCCGTTTTAATTATAAACAATATTTGAACATTTGTACTCTTTGAGGCGATGAAATTTCCGAACAAATGGCGGAAAATTAATCTTTCACCGTCTACAACGAAGCGCGACAGCTTAGCTGTTTCGAACGTTGTCAAACGAATTATTTTGATGGAAAAAAAATCGTCCCAGTTTCATTTCTCGCGTCCGTAGGTATAAATAAATCAAAATAAATTCGAAATAAATTGGAATTTCCGTATTACTGTCATCGATTGTATGTGAAGGCAATCGTTCGCAGCGATCGTGCCGGCTGTCACTCAAAAGGGATATAAGTAAGATTCAACAGTTCCCAAAACGTATTACGACAACTAGGAAACGATCAATCCTACCTTTAGTTTATTTATTTTTCATTTCGAAACTCCTAGTTTCGAATTCCGACGCGTATCGATTGATAGATGGAACCATTCTTGCTAAAACTATATCGATAGAAGCCGGTAGGATTAGGAATTATTGCCGAAAAACGGCGATACTACTGCTGAAAAATTTAAATTTTCCAGCCGTACAAGATAAATTATTGTGAGTGCGTTTTCGGAATAAAATCGGTACGTCGATTTTTCATTTCTACATCTGCTAAAACGCGAATGGAGCACTTAGAATTCCGCTAATGATTATAATATCTATTCAACTCGGGTGATTTATTTTCTTGTTTACCACCACAATTTCATTACCACAATATTTACTTCATCTCTTATTAATTTTTTAGAACCATTATTTTGATTATTTTTCCGTCGTATTTACCGAACAATGAACAAAAAAAAATGATTGCGGCTACAGAATTTACTAATGGAAACCCTATTATAGAATAATATACAGATAGAACAAAAGGGAATAGTATGAAAGACCAGAATCTCTAATGAGTCAGTTAATGAAATTAATAATAAATAAATGTAATGCACTGTAACGAATGTAGAAATCCGGTAAAATTAATTAATAAAATATTAAGGGCCAGTTTCATAAATGAAATTTTAGTTTCAAAGGATCCTTTAATTCTTTAAGCCTATTTTTGGACATTTTAACCCGCTAAAGTCTTTAAAAAATCCTTAAAGCAACCTTTTTCTAAAGCTTTTTTATGTAGGTATTTGACATGAGGCTAGAACACTTTATCTTGAAGCTTTCTTTTGTTAGAGCTAGAAAAAAAATATGTTCAAAAGAAATTTGAATACGTTTATGTATTATCACTTAGAAGTGCAATAATTTTTTATTCGATTACCTTCTTCCCTGCGTTTGTTCAAACGACAGGCATGCACAGAAGCGTAATTGGGAAAATTCCCATCCTGAGAAAACGGTTTGATACCATTAGCGATTCAGCAGAAATTTTATTGGCGACCGAAATAAATCAAATTGCGACGAAACGCGTCCCCGCCACTATAAACATGAATCTTGCCGAAACCGTTCGTTCGACCGACGACCGCAGCATAAAATCGGACGAAGGAAAAGCCGGACTCCGCAACACACACACCTTCGCACAAACCTAAATATTTTAGTCGAAACAACCCCGAATTCGAACACCGACAATTCAACCAAATTTATTGCATATATAGTGCGCCCCCTGTTAATCGGTAATGACTCCTACATATGCAGGAATATCCTAGATATGAATAGGATACCCCTAATGTAAGAAAACTTAACCAGGTGATTACGACACAAGAAACAAGTCAGGTATGTCTATTAATTACTAGAGACCATGTACTATTCTACTATTAATTCTACTAAATGGTTCCTTCTATTCAGTGAGCGATTTCAATGAGAATTCAATAACATGTTACTGTTACTAGCACCAATAAACTGATTTCATTTCATTTGAATGTAGTGCTTTTAAGAAAATAGTGTTTCCGAAATTACAACGTAAAATATGCTAAATGAAATCAAACAAAAAAAAACGAAGCATTTTCCCCGGCTTAATTAAAATAAATCCCGATTCGCGAGCAACGAAACCGAAGCGAAAGGGCATTAATGAAACCGTCGTCGCAGGAAATTCCGGCATCTTCCTTAATACATCCCGCTCGAACTGTACGGGCCCATAAATACCGTTTCCCATGAAAACACTTTTAAGTACGTTTTCGAGTAAATGCTAAAGGGGCAACCGACTTGCATAATATGATTTTTGCTTCGGCTGTAAATTACCTTTATATTTCGTCGAGAGTTTTCTCCGGCGAACGTAAATCAACGTTTAGCGAAACCGCGTGCGGTAAAGCGATCGCCTCGAGTGTTATAACGAATTCCGAAAGGTGATTCATTTCCATACAATTAGAGCTAGGTGGAGCGGCGGCGTGAAAATCTTCGCACGAGTTATTTAATGCCAAGAATAATATTGCTGATGTACTCTGTATACTGAACTTTAAACAGTTAATCGATAAGAGATTTATGATCGATTCGAAATTTGACGGTATAAAATTGATAATAGGCCAATGTTTGATGGTAATATTACTTGGAGGTATTAAAATTTCTTAAAGAAACAACAGTTTTATTAATAATTTTTTCATTATGCAAATTTCTGTTGTTTCTTTATTACTGATAGAAAAGGTGCTCATTAAAAGTCTTCGAGGAGTTTAATTTAAAAGTTTTACGGGCAGGAAAACAGCTCAGTGAGTGGTATTCCATACATAAAAAAATGTTAAAAGTATTTACAGTATGTTGTTGAGAAATTTGTTAATTAAATACAAGATAATTAAAGCTTCTTAATTCTATTGTAATTGGTTGGGGGCGGGCGCTTGCGCGGGGAATATAATAATAGCCTCAGGTATAGGCGCATGTTGTCTGTTCATCTCTCTATTATTAATTCACTGTTTATATTTCGGGGAATTGCAGTACGCGCACGTAAATTTCCAGATTTCGCAAAATATTAACCTGCGCCTTTGTGTATTTCCAACCTCGATTATGTCAACATGTATCAATATTAGCTCGACTTCGTTTATGAATATCTCTACAAACGTTTTAATGTATGCGCATATGGCAAAATTTCCCTTTTATGTATTTAGTTGAATAGAATGCGCTTCCATAAAGGTGGAAAATAAATTTCACTATCGTACCTACGCGCAATTCCTGAGTATAAAAGCCGCTGAAACTTCTGCTGAAAATCAGCTTGATTAAACAATAAAATACGAAAAGTTTGGCAAAAAGTACGTTTAAAAAAATCGAGTTCTTTGACGTTCCCTCAACTTTTCCTGATGACTGCTTTTATTGATGTTATCTCGGCTTCTATTAAATTTTTTACCAACTTTTATCGACCTTCCTAAAAATTAAGTGTGCACCATCTCAAAACCCTTCTGGATTTAGTGTCAATTAATAAGCATAAAAAACCAGTCGATAAAACGAAAACTATTTATTTTGTAATATAATCGCTACGAAATAATTGTACTGTAGGTATAAACTGCGATTCGATGTTAACGATTTCGAATTCCAACCCTAAAATATCCCTTTTATTCCTCCATAGCAATCGCAACGATTCGCTTTAAGTGAACCATTCCGCGACGTTCTTAGCTCCAATTCTGTCAATTCCTCCGTTAAGATATTTATCGGCACCGTTACTTCTATGTTATGGCCTTTAAAGTGCTCAGAAACATTCAGCAGGATTAAATTTTTATAGAACAAGCCAACTTTTATCAATTTTATTCGATAGATACGGAATTTGTGGGCCAGAAATCTACCAGCAGGTTAATCTACTGTGTATTTTTCGTACACCAGCATCGCTGTTTTTAGGATGAATTTAAGTTCATCTTTATTGGTATCATTAACTCTCGCAGAAAGGCGGCAGTAATTTTCCGGGATCGGGTCACGTTTGCGCGTACCACCTGCATCGTAAAACGAAACAATCGAGATTACTTACGTCGACGGTGACGCCGGGAAGCGGAAAAGCCTGCGTCTGGGGCATATCTCGCGGGACGTAGCGATAGAACTCGTTGCCGTCTTTATACCACTTGACAGAGTACAGAGTCTCACCGTCCATTTCGAAATGGCACTCCAGCCTGGCGCTCTGATTTCGCACCGCGTGGCTCGGTATCCTGATGTCGACCAGGCGAAGGCACACAGCACCTGCAAACAAACATTTTAACATTATTAAACCGGCTACAGAAAAATCCAAAAGCTACACTAAAAAAATCATGTACCAAAATCACGAATTTCTTATACACCAAGCTATTCAGTTACTACAAAATAGTCCAGAATGGTTGAGGAAATGCCATCAAAAAACAATTCTTCCCCGGTTTATCCGCATCGAGATTTCGCATGGCCGATCGGGATATCATCATCCTGATGCTTGGATCGTTCATCAAGCATCGCTCGAATCAGCACTAAAATGTAATATCGATAATTTTCCGGAACGAACGTGCCCCGGACCGGCGGATGCATTCGCTTCGTAATGTACGAGAACTCCTCTTGCAGATTCGGTCGAATCGAAAAAAATATATCGTTCACTCGGAATTACAAACGGCTCGCGTTAGACGGGGAGTACCGAGAAGAATGCAAGTTCGCTCCGGGCGATCCTGTTCGGTATGCGGGATGTTTAAATAATTTATTGCGCGAGTCGAAGGGGTGAAAATGGAATAACAACTACCTCTACCTTTTCGAAATAAAATCAACCGAGGATATGTCGCAAGTTAGGGGATAAGTTGGCAGCGCTGAATGCGTAAGTTGGCTCGCCTGCAGTAACCGAAAAGTTTCTGCTCGTAGCAATTTTTGCAGTTCATCCAACGGTACAAAAACAATTTTGCCAAATAGTGGAGTCGAAAAAAACTTTGGCTGTCGTTAATAAAAATGTCGGTCGCGTGAGTTCGTACGAATTACTTTCGATCGATGACTATAAACAAACATTTCGTTAGGGTTCGGGATTACGTTTTCTCGAGGAAGCTCCTCTAATAACATTACGATGGACCTTCGTTTTTATGGAGTTCGGGGGAATTTTTTCGAGTTTGCTTTTCTACGTAGAAACAAACACACCATCGGTATAATTCGAAAACTAACATTTTTCGAATGAGAAACATAAATATACTGACAAGTATTTTATGCAGATTAAAAATAAATTCAATATCCCTCGTTAAAACCCATTTAACAATCTGTTATATAAAAAAAAACTAATGCACTCGTTTTTGTCATTAAAATAATATTTCCGTTTTATTCAAGCCAAATAGGAAAAATTGTTTCGCGACATTTCGGAATGATAAGTATTAATATTTCGAAAGCGTCGCTTCGAATTTACTCATATTTCACGGCCTTCCGCGTTCGGTCTTTAAAACGTATTTGTTTCTATTTTTATTCCGGCGATGTACGAAGAAGAAATATGCCGTTGTAGCATTTTATATTATACTAATGGGACGTCGGAAGTTGGGCATATATAAATCAAGCAACTCATTAATAAATATTTACCTTCAGGAATTCTAATGTGTGCGTTTGGGTGACTGAAATAATTTTACGGTATAAAAAGTTTGTTTTTTCCGCGTGGTTATTTAAGTATTGTAAGAATTATTGCTCGGAGAATTTTTTCGTCGGGAACACCTGGAACGGGACGTGTACTAATACGGCCCTCTATTTATCTTCAACGCAATCAAAAAAATTTTTATAAATGGTCAACATAGAATAAAAACGATTACAAAATATTCGTAACAAGCGCTTTGCATGCGATGGCCCGACATTCGAATAAAATGAAAAATGAAACCGGCTCGAATCTGTCCGGGCTAAAGCCCGCGCCATGATGGATCACCCGGCTCTACATATCGCGTGGACAACTTGGCCTAATATTAGGCAACCCACTTTACTAATACACCGAATTAACGATTCCCTGCATAGCGCATTCATCCAGCTACATCTCCCTCCATAAATAATCAGCAATGGCAGAACATCCTTCTCATTGAATAAAATATTAAAATACCCGTCCTGCGACGAAATTTCCCGTCGCAGGACCGATGCCGGAGGAGTTCCCGTGACATCTCTAAATCGTTTAAAATTTATAAGGACTGAAGTTAATATGGGTCCAAAAAAAAGGTTTCCGAAAGAAGATTAAAGGGAAAGACTACGTCGAACTTTATTTCCTACTTCCAACATGGATATTGCTTGATAGCGGAAATAAGACGAGCAGGAATAAGTCGATTCGAGGATTGCTTATGCAATGCGGAATAATTACTGAATATTAAAGAAAAGTTGGAGTGTGTGAATGTTGGTATGATGTGTATATTTAAGAGAAATCCTGCAGGATATTGAATGGAGGTTTGAAAATAAGTTGAGTGTAGTTGGGGAAAATAACGTTACGGCACTGCGTCCTAAATTATGCCCATTCGGGACGGGAAAGAACTTGCCAACGTGGATTTGTTTTTTCAATTCCGCCTCGTTCTCGAATCGTTCGCATTATCATTTGGTTGTATTTTTTCCCTCGGCGAGATTCCTGCGCTTACCCGTTTTTACCGATTTACTAAATCAAGTCGAATATATCGGGAAGTTAGTTAAAGTTTTAAAAGCCACGGGTTTCTTACGGTTTCGGGACCGGGAGCGCAATAAAAACCCAGCGAAAACGGCGAAGAGGTGGATTTTCGTTGCCGGTCGTGGACGATTGCACTCATGCCGGAATCGCGAATTAATCCGCCTGTTTCGTTCTCTTTCACTTTGCGGTTTCGGACGCACATAATAAGGTAATACCGAGCGATTGTTATCTAACGAAATAAAAAACGAGGGGTGATAAATTGCCGTGTGCACCTCCGACAGGCATTAATCTTTTAACGTAACACGACCGAAGCCTTTCAGCATTAATAATATTCTGATACTAACGATAGGACCTTCCCTTAGGATTAGATAGGCGATTATTATGTAACATTTTATATTAAACAGCACCGTACGAAGGGGTAAACAATGTTCTATATTAACATTACAAATTAATTTAACTGTTATACTAATTTATTTTATTAAATTAATAAGTACAAGCAATTTTATATTGCAATATTTATAACAAAATAATAACTGTATTCTGTTTATAAAACTCTTGTATTATTGTTGAATTTATATAGCAGGATTTTTCCTATAAAAGAAACAATTATAGAAGCGTTGTATAATAAAAATTGATTGTCCAATCCTGCGTTCTGTCGAAGAGTTAAGTCCGTATATACAATAATTAATTCATGTTGATTTAGGTGGTATTCTGAACACAATAATCAACCCTTTACAATAGGTTAATTTGATGGCCGAAGGCCGAAAGGATCGAGTTTATGGAATAGAACAGCCGCGCCCCGATGAGCCGTAACTAAGAATCACAATCAAGATTCGGATGTAATTTCGAACTAAAAGTCTGGAGCTCGTTGCCATTATTTATGTGGAATGAAATTCGAATTTTTTTCCCAGGTCGCCGGCTCGTTCGCCGAAAAGGTCAAGTCGCAGAAAACGAAAATAATCGCAGGTAATAAAAGTTAATGTAGCGTTTTATTTAAACGGCACTCTTTCATTTGCATTCACGGGAAAAAATCGCCTCTAATACGGCGCGAGCCATAATTAAGAAATCTCGCGATTAATCCCCGAGGGGCGAGGCCGCGCAAAAAGGGAGTTTATTACGCTGTAAAGCCCGGTATAATACACAGCGATTAATACGGAAACTACAACAATTTTCGACGCAATTTTAAAATGCGATTTTAATCCGCAATTTCGCGATTTTATTTAGTCAATCATACCGTTTTATTGGGGGTGCAGGCGCACAATCCGGTGTAGCAGATGCTCATCTAAATCCGCTTTATCCCTTTTTAACGTTAATAAAAAAACTTTTTTCGACGTTTTTCATGTTAATTGTCCGCTCGGTTGTGTTTTTTTTGTTACGGCCGAATTATAATTATTTTCTCGTTTAAGTTTCGACGGTTTTCGGGGGCGGTTTTTTCGACTCGTCCGCTGATAAAAAAATCGCATTTAATTAAGCCTTATTAAAAGATATTTCTCCGGCGAGCATAAAGGAAAAATTAGGCATTCAGTGCTTCTTAATAATTCACCCTATTGTGTTTAGCGAATACTAATAAAGTTTTATCAAAACCGGTGAGTTCTCGAGGGGCGAATTTTTCACCGTAAACAAGAATCTAATGAGAAAGTGGCAGCGGCCTCGAATAAAATTAATTTAGGAAAGCCTCGCTTTCATTTCGCGTACCGCAAAAAGTGCGTGATACCCAGAAAAAATTATTCCAAGGGGATTAATTATAATTATAGATAAGTCCGGACCTGTGTACGTTCCAGTAGAATTCCAAGAGTGTGTGTATGTGTGTGTGTGTATGTGTTTCATTAGTGGTATCTCAAACTTTCGGTATATTTCAAGGAAGTTAACTCAGAAGCACCTAATGCTCAGAATTTATTGATATTATTAGGAACTCCGGCATAGCGGAGATTCTGTTTCAGCATTGAGTGTTGCGCGGATGTTTGGGGATTTTAATAGGGGTAGTTCGGCCCGGAAAGTTGGAGAATGCGCGATTTAACGAATTAGACGCGTCGAGGATAAAATAAGTTTAACAACATTACAACTGAACTCATCCGAACGAGAACCAGAGACACTAAAAGATAAAGGAAATATAACCGAGGAAAATTCAGTTATCGCAATCGACGTTACGGAGAAGAGAAATTTAATTATTACTAATAGCGCATAGTGCGGAACATACGTCAAAAATAATAACAAACGTAAAAATAATAGGAGTCAATAAAAACTGTTCGCGACGAGACACAATGCAGAACGTTACGGAATAAAAAAAATTCCAGTAGATAGTAGGTGAGGGCGCAGTCGACTGGAAGCGCAGATAAAGAATAAATAAAGACAAAATAAAATGTAAAATGGAGACGACGTTTCCATAAAGGAGATTTGATATTCGGTTTCATTTGGTTTATTTTCGGTGTTTGAGATATCGCGTCGGAGCCACGACAGTCGTCGAGAATGTTTATCAGCCGTCGTTTTGTATTATTTTTCGAAAAACCGACGCTTTAAATTGTCCAAATAATTTTCGAGTATTTCTCGAAATTACTTCCAATCCGTTTAATCGTCATATTTAGTCGCAAAAATTGATCAAAAGCGTTGTTATAAATTATAAACTAAATACGGTTCTGGACGGTAACAGAAATGCCCCACATGAAGTATATAACGTTTCATCTCAATCTCGACTACTGATTGTTATTGTCCTTGTGAGACTATACTCTGGAAGAGGTCCTGAATTCAATTGCCGCAGAGTTAATTATTCCCACTTTATCTCTAATAGCTAGTAGAATGGAAGTTAGTTAACTGTTCGAACAATGTATGGCAAAAATTATTTTATCCTGTGATAAAGTTTGAAAATACCTTTCAGGAATTTATTAAAACACAAAATATAGTCATGGATTTAAACTGGATATCCTGAACTCTTAGTCGATGTATTTGTACAAAAATAATCCTTGGAAACATCAATAATGAATTTTTTTTTTCGGCGGAGCTTCTGTCAGTCGTCAACGGATACAGTCGAAAATAATGTCGGATAAAAAGAAAGGATTAACCCTTTTATCATTTGAATTTAATCAATTCTAATGGGGATTCGCGTTTTATACCAGTAGGAAGGGAGGCTTTCCGCAGATATAAACCAAGGGGTCGTTTTGCAAATTTAAATAGTGTACATGACGCAGCACTTTAAGGATTAAGAGTGTCCGAACTCATCGACGGCGTATTTATGGGCGTACACGATTTTCCTGAATTTTAATCGAAAAACGAAAATTTCCGCGGGGGAGCTTTATTGGGATATATAGGGGGCACCCGAACGACGATTATTTTTTACGAAAAAAAATCCGTACAATTATCGTTACGTTTTCGCGAAGCAATTTAATTTTCATCTTCTTCGATGATCGGAAAAGCGCTTCGCGTGCGCTCTAATTAATTGACATATTCGAATGCGGCATGCAACAACAGCAACTCCTGCTGATCGAATTTCCTGAAGTAATTTTACTGTGCAGCCGGCATTTAATGGTAATAAAGCAAAGGCATTCTTATCGACAATGTTCGCTCAAAACCTTTAACTCTCTAATCCTTTTTAATTTTAGAATTAATTATTTATGTATATTTCGAGCATTTCGATCATATTTTCGATTTCTTCTTGTTGAATCTCTAGTTTTCCAGGCAATTTTTCGATAGGAATGCATGGAAAAAACAAACTTTGACCACCTTCTACATACAGTATTGACATCTAATGATTCATCATGGTGAATGTGTAGGTACATATTGGAGGAAATGTAGAGAATGTTATATTTTCTTTGACCACGTCCGGAAAAAGATAAACCCTCTTGTTCGCGTAGAGTTTTCCGCGTCATTTGCTCCATCATCCGGCAATAAAATATTGTATTATATTGTGCTCGTGGCCTTCTGTATTATAGATTGAAAGTTCACCATAGAAAATCGATAGAGTATCAACCTATTTCCTTCTGTTTTTCCGAACGATATTTACGTATGCGAGAACGTTATAAGATAAAAATAGCCGGACGCGAAACTAAAACAAATTCGTATAAACAAGGAAAAAAACACGACCGCCCTAAGTCGAAGAATCCTCATTGTTCAATCACATATAAAAAACCAACCCTCGTACTTTCTCTGCAAATAAAAGCGGTTAGAAAAAACACTCTGGAAAATAACGAAGACGCCTGCAAATATTCCGGGGACGTGTTACTACTTGTTTCAGTTCTATCGCAGTTTTCCCCGTTTCCTCACGTTTCAATATTTCTCGCAACACGTGTGTACTTTGGAAACCAAATGGCTCTTTCGGTGCGTTTCGCGGGGCGAATTTCGCACGTAACTAATTTTTAACTCGCGAGCATGCAACGCAACAGTTCGGATTCGGTTCGGATATCTTCCGCCTCCTGATATCCATTCAATTGCGGCAACCGGGAAGAGCGAAAGAATCCAATTAAAAACTCTCGTTACTTCAGAAGGATCGCTCGAATTTGTTTGGCAGTGTACAAAACGCTGAGGCGAGGCGCGTGTATGCTTCGCAAGGCACGCTGAATAGAAACCTCCTCATTTATCTAAAAAAAAACCACCGTGAAAAATACGACATTTTCTCTCCGCGTCGCTTTTTGAGGTTCAAAAATAAGGCGCAAATACGTGGGAAGAAACTTCATTTACGATGCGGATAAATCGCACTTTTTACGTGCGTTCGACGCAATAATGTAATTGGTTAAAAAGAAATTTTTACGAAAAAAAATATACACCAAACTAGGCATATTATACTGACAAATCCGTGTAAAAAAACGCTTTGTTCGAATTCTATGCTAACCGAATGTTCGCTCGTACAAACCCCGCTGGTTCCTATGTTATTAACATCTGAATAACGTATAATATTTCCACTCGGCATCATAAAAACCGCTGGAAAAAGCCCATTGGCGGTGACAAGGATTTTAACTTAGCGATATATGGGATTAAAAAATTTCAAAAATAATGACCCTCTACTTCGTTTCCATTCCTATAAAAATCGATTTGCACTCGTACATGCATTTACATGATTTAAGTTTCACGCACGAAGGTAAATTTGTAAATCCTCTACAATAAAACCCATTCAAACCTCACAAAATCACACCCTACCTACCACACTTCCCTACAATTAATTATTCATCGAGCACCACCCTGTGTTCAAACGAAGCGAGCCGCGCCGTACATATACAGGAAAATTTCACGACTAGGCCAGGAAATGAAAATTAGCTACCCCGCAGCGAGGAATATTTCGAAATTCCCGGGTTATTGCA